TACCTACCTACCTACCTGCCTGCCTACCTGCCTACCTACCTACCTACCTACCTACCTACCTACCCACCCACCCACCCACCCACCCACCCACCTACCTACCTACCTACCTACCTACCTACCTACCTACCTAAGTCAAAACCGGATGCAACGTTGGGCGTTTCTCCTACGTCTCTGCCATAGCTCCATACCACACTGTCCTTACAAGATTTGTTCACGGGAATCTACACATGTCCTCTGCTGAGAGATCATGGCCGTGGACGAGCGGACAGGCGGGCAGTCCCACTGACGGAATCCACATGATTCAGACGCCTGACTAGAGATGGAACTCGCCGGTTTGATGGCCTTGTCAGAGTGTCTATCCCCCTAGCTGCTTAACTGGGAGAAAAAGGTACACAAATAGCCTGCAGAACATGACACGAGCGAAGCTTTGGACCTTGCAATCCTTAGCCATAAATTGGTCTACTTCCTTCCCTGCCTTTCCCCGCCACTACGTGCAGCCTCGGACAGGGTTGGGGCGAAGATCCCGCAGAATGCGCGACCGGAGTGATTCGTGTCGAAGGTCAGGTACATGTACACCTGAGGCAATCGGGTCTAACGTAAGCATGTCCAGAGTAATGCTGCTTAAGCAACCCTTGAGTAGCGAAGCTGGCTCCACGTTCAGATTGTGGACTCGGGTATCTAGACCTTACGCCAACCTGCATGATACATGTTTACATTATTATACTGTACAACTACTGTTCATTCTTGAGGCAAGGCACTCTTACAACCGACTGTTACCAATACTATAGTACAGTATGGGCCACCACCGGCACCCCCCCCAGCACCACCTGCAGGTGGTGGTGGTGGTGGTGGTGGTGGGGGCGGCGGCGGCGGTGGCGGTGGTGGCGGGGGTTGGGGGGGTGGTGGTGGTGGTGGTCAATGCTTTCATGCCAAAGACGCTCGCTTCGTCGACGTTGTTGATGACCCATTGTCGGTAGCTGCTGTCCTGGTCGGCGTTGTCATAGGTGGAGTGCTTGTAGCGGCCGAACTCACAGATCTTCTGTCCACATGCTTGAAGATGTTGTCGATATACTCCAGGAGTGAAGTTGTTGCCGTACGATCCCGACGTGGAAATGTTCGGTGCTTTCCGGTTGGCCATGGTCGCCTGTGGTAGAGGAAGTTGGACCAGTCGGCCGTGTAGTGTCCCAGCTCATGTTCGCGGCGATGGCGAGGTCGAGCAGCATGCTCAGAATTTGTTCTCGATGAGGTGGAACGTGGTCGACGTAGCTGGTCCCACTCCTTGTTCCCGCAACTCAGACATGTGCGGATCTTCACAGAGGTGTTCGAGCCCTTCCAGGTGGCTGGCAAGTCCCGATAGGCGTGGTCGTAGGGAATGGGCTCCTGGCGTTGTCCGTAGGCGTTCTCCGAACTCTTGACGAAAGAGCTCCACAGTCCTTGCACTTCGTCTGGTGGTAGTGGGCGTTGGAGCCGGCAAACGTAGTTCGCTTGTGAGGGCATTGCTTGTCGTTGATCGGCAGTTCCGAAGAACAGTGGTGGTACCTCATTCACAGAAGCCCTTGAGGTAGGCGTGCTCGTAGCCCGCACTGTAAGGTCGTGCTCCCGTAGCATTTGTCATCATGTTCGGCACCAGGGCCAACTGAGCAGGTTGGGTCGGCCCTAAGGTCGACATCAGCTGTCTCCAGTCGACATCATCAGTCTCCATCGGCATCCGTTGTCCTGGCACCATGTCATTGTTGCGTTCGGAGTTCTCATGCTCGTTCTCGGCCACCACGCTCCAATGTCCAGGGCTCTCTGGATCTCCAGTGTCATGCTGTGCGGGTGGCTGCTGCAGGATAGCCGGTGGAGGCACTGCTCGGTAGCTTGGTGGAAGCGCGAGTCGCTCGTTGTGGTAGTGGAGGCTGTCCGCGAGGTTGTCGTGGATCATGTCGTAGCGCTAGGTGGGCTTGTCGGGGTCCAGGAGGCGCGTTCTCAGATTGGAAAAGTAGACCATGCGGGGTTTCTGGCCTTTGGGTCTCCCCTTTCCAGAGGAAGCCGGAGTGATCGTGGCGCTCGTAGGAGAACTTGCCACCTTTCCATTGCCCTTCTTGCCCTTTCCCTTCTGGATTTTGGAGTGGGCACGTAACATCTCCACTGCAGTGTCCAACAGCTCCGCATGGCCTGCACGTTGCACGAGCCTTCAGCGCTTGAAGCTGAATGAGCCCGACAGCTCAAGCTGCGGCTTCCAGAAGCCGTTGCGGCCCTTGTGCCGGCGAAATAGGCCTCCTCATGGGCTTGGATCAACTCGGAGGCGTACTCACAGCCCTCCATGTCATCGAGGTCCAAGCCGCCTTCGGCCAAGCAAGCCAGGTGCTCCTCAGCGAACGTCCCGATCTCGTAGAAGCCGTCGTCGTCCTCCTCGTCCGCGCACAGCCCAGGTAGCCGTAGCTCTCCTCGTCCGGATATTCATTGTCGTGCTGGGGCTCATCTTCATCCATTGGTAGTGCTTCTGCCTCAGCGCGGTATCCATGAAACCTCGGCTTGCCATACGGCTGGTATGGCTTGCCACCCTGGCAAAGTGTCCTCGATGGGCTCCGGGATGTCCTCGAAATTTTCCAGGATGCCGTCGGTGTATAGTCCAGGATGTCCTTGGGCACGCTCATGTATGCGAGGATGCTGCGAGATCAACTCCTCGGCCACCTTGTCAAAGGTCATGTCGCCGTGGAGGGTCGTCCGTATCATGAGGTTTTGGTTGGACGTCAGGCCGGCGTTGTTCAACAACGGCTCCGCCAAGATCACGTCCGGCAGCTTCAGCTGTGCATTGAGGTCCGTCATGGCCCGGTACCATGCTCGTCGTCGCAACAGAAGCTGGCTCATCGTTTCCGCTGGTTGCCGTGCCATGATCTCGCCCGTGGCTGCTCCAGCCTCGTAGAGATCTCTGGCTTGTTGAAGTCGGCGGCGTCGTAGTTCGGTGGCCACGGCATCCATAAGGTAGGTCAGGCCATCACTCTCTTCCAGCCTCTTGATGTCCAGTGTCTGCGCGACCTTGAGTGTTTGGCCGCTAAAGCACTCGATCAGCCGGGGAGACAAGGGGCCCAGCTTCTTCATCTCAGTCTCTGACATCGCGGCTTCCTTTCTCTCTAGCGTCTGAACTCTGAAAAGTCCACTCAGTAAGGCGACCCCATCGCGACCCTCCGTAGTAAAGGATCCCTGCCCCACAGCGTCCTCGTCGGCGAGGAAGCGCGAAAACTTCAGGCCATCCAACAGGCTGCTGGATGCCATCGTGGCAAAGGGCCCCAAAGGGCCTGCAGCTTGTCGCTCCGCTACCAGTGCAGAAGCACTGGAGCATCGGAAGGCGCATAAGTTTTGCTGCTCGCAAGCTTGAGCCAGTCGTGGCACGGCCAAGCTGTCGGTCTGCTTTCCTAGCAGCGGTGACATGAAGTGACATGTAGTTAACATGTCTGCAGACGGAGCTTCCATAAGGAAGCTCTGCTTTCACATTAGTACTAGTACTAGTAGTAGCAGTAATAGCAGTTCGTAGTAGGAGTCGTAGTAGTCGTCGTCGTAGTACTGGTGGTGGTGGTAGTAGCAGTAGTAGTAGTAGTAGTAGTAGTAGTAGTAGCAGCTTTGGACAAGGTACCACACCACGCCAAACCAGCTCACAACATCCAACCCACCATAGAAACCAGCGAACCAAGACAAAATCAGCACACAAGCAATGAACCCGTCGAGGCCGTGGGATTGACTAGTCTAGTCCGTTGCACTGTCCCGTGATGGATCGATCGACCAATGATCGATGTTGTCAATTTGCGCTTAACCATGTCACTTCGGGCCTGTGTTAACAAATCTTTGGGTACCTGTCCGGCTCCTTGGATTTTGGATTTTGGCTTTCTGTGTCGCATGCTTTCTTGAGGAAACCTCCCGGAGAGAGTTGTCGACCCTCGCATTCTTGACATCACCCTTCTTTGGATAGCGGTCTCTGCACCAGGAACCGAAGAACACGACGAAAAAACGAGCGGTGAAAACGGCTTGTAAGACAAGGGCATTGACATGCACTGATCCTAATGGCAAAGCTTTTCGTCGAGACTGGCCGCCAACTGCCAGTAACCAAAAGCCATCACCCCTGCTCTGACGTGTGAGGAATCCCTCGAGGCTGAGGCTCCTTGGGCCTGTGTCCAAAGTCCTGAAACCGACACCTCTGCAGCACGAGCTTGGCTTGCTGGCGGGTCGCGTTGCGAGAAGCAGGCAAACTTGGAAGGTACTCCAAGGCAGGTTGCGGAAGCAGGTCCTGGATTTCGAATGTTCAATCCTTGCCAGCTTAAGGTTTCAGTTGCATGGTTTTTGGGCTTAGGATGGGGTTGTTTCGTTGAAGGCACCTGAAGAGATTAAGACATGAACACGTGGAAGGATGATTCCTGAAGACACGGTTGCACTAGGGCTTGGGGCCTGGAGTGTTTATGGTCAGCAGGAAGTGGATATGGCAAACGCGTAGGGCATCTAGGTTGTAGGGTACTCATGCGTGTTGGTTGTACCGTTGGGTTTTGGCTATGGTGCGAAAGTTCCAATCCAAAGCCTTGGCCTTGAACAGTGAAATAAGACAAACACGATTGCCAGCTAAAAAGACGGGCGATCGTGAAGCGGCTGCTTCGGGCAATGACTTGATGTAGGAATCTTTCAGAGGGTCTGTGGCAAATGCAGTATTCTGCAAACTGTAGTTGGGCTTTGCACCTAAGCCAATAGGGCCGCGGCTTTTTCGCCTGATCCGAGCAGACTGGTTAAAGGAGCCAGTAGTCTTGCCTGTGGTGTTCCTCTCCCCTACGGGTCCAGCAAGGTTCCAAGAGGTGGGTGCGGCGAAAACTGTTGATACAACAGCCCCCCAACTTGCAATGTGTAGTTCATATGCTGGTTTTGTTTCTTTATCATAAAGTAATACATAAAGGAATGAATGCCAATCCGGATGTGGGTCAAAGGATCATATCTCAACCGTTTCAACCCATGCTCCCTCCTTCCTTTGGTCTCAACAAAGCTTCACTCCCAGCTGCTTGTTGAATAATGGTTGCCCAGGCAAAGTTTGCTCAACATCTGTGCCAAGACTCGACATTCATGGGCAGCCGCACTGTCAGTCATTTCATCTGAGAGCTTCAAAGGTACCGTTCTCCGTTCTTAGCATGTCTTCAGTTTGCCGTTGCTGTAGGGACCCTCGAGGGGAGCAGGTGAGACAGCAAGGTCGGACGAAAATCGTCTGAGCCGCTCAACGATTTGGGGTCCCTCACTGCCCCATGCGTGACCGCGAATTTGTTTGGGGTTTCCAGTCTACAGCTGATCAGACACCCCAGCAGGTCGTAACATACTTCTAGGAGTTTCGACATGGGTGTGAAGCTTGGGCAGGCTATTGATGCCGAGCTCAATGGCTCAGTTTAGCGCTGTCACGTATTGCTTGCTCGAAACATCCGCAACATAAACTGCATCACGGATTTGGCGCAGATATGGAAAAGGGATGCCAAATCGCTATCGATGGCTGGAGCTGTCCAAGTGTACATCCGCAGCATTCGTGAGGCTTAGCAGGAGTCTTTTTCCTAGCCACTTGCATGGCACCGCTTGCGCTGGCACACAAGAGGCTCAGACCCTTACGTGCAAACCCAGCAATCCGGATATCAACCCAACACTAAATGCCTACAATGCAAGATGCACAGGACTTTGCCAGGAATCACGTGCGTGATCTGTACCACTTGCCGCTCGGACCGCCGGAAAAAGACGCAGAAAGGCTCTCGCCCTGAGACTTCTCTTAGGTGGCATGCGGGCGTGGGAGCTTCAGGGCTTTGATGCTTCAACTAAGTTCCTCGCTGGTCCGGGTCTTGGCTTCCAGCAATGAGCGATGCAACTTATCCGTGGCAATGAGACGTTGCGAGCTTGGGACGAACTGGGAAGTCAAGGGTTGACAAGGAACACCAACGGCATGCTTATCGGTCATGCCTGAGTCAGTAACTCCAGACCCACGTCCATACAAGCAGGGCTGGGAGCCTCAGTTGTGGGCTGGAGCCCTTGAAGCCGAGTAGGTGTTGTCGGCTCGTTGTCGTGGCCTGCTCCTCCAATCCACTGGAAATCGGGAAATGTGCACAGGCCGGGCCGAAACTAACTAGGCCTTCGCCTTCGCGTCAAGTGATTTCCAAAGCGATGCCAGCGATGCTGCAGCTAACCTTTGGTGCAAGCTACAGGACTTCAGCACTGAGTCTCGATGCTTTCAACGTCTACGAAGCTGTGCAACACCAAGTCTAGCAACTGGTGTCTGGAGAGAAACGAGTGGATCTCTCGCCAGGATCCTGCTGACTGGGACTATCGAACAGAATGCCCTCCAGCGCGGCTGAGCGGAAGTTGATTTTAAATGCTTTATGTGGAGGGGAGGCATGTCCTGGGTTTCACGAATCAGGGTGGAGTGGTCATTCTGGAAGTCTGGACTCGGTTTGTAGGGAGTCTAGGCCAGCCCAAGGGGTCGGATACTTAAGTCGGGAGTGCTTCAAAACACATATGACAGAAATGAACTGGTCTCCCGAAAGTGGCAAGCCTGGAGCTTCTGGAGGATCCATGTTCAGAGTCACCATTCCAAAGGGACCCTGCGCGCTCAACCCTTGAAAATCGCATCAGAAAATGTCAGGCCATGGACCGGCATCGGAGCCTGCTTGTCGTCAAGCACGGATCTACAGACTGTGGGCTGTCTCCTGGAGCATTGCCCGATGAAATTTACCAAATCGGTACTTAACCCTCATACTAGTGTTCTCACTATTCTGACTAACACTTCGTCACGACGAAAGGACCCAACTAAATCCCGAACCCCTCGGTCCATCTGTCCGAGGTCTCTCGTTAGCAGCTGGATGCAGTCTGACAGTTGCTTGAATCGGTACACAGCCGGCGGCCGAGTCCTACTGCGAAGGAAGTCTTGGTAGCCATGCTCACGAGGCGAGGTGGAAGATGTGCACAGCGATTGTAGCTTTGCAAACATTTGCGTGGTGAGCAGTGCCTGCTTGCTCACAATCTTGTTCCATCAGCTTGGCAGGCAAACCTGCAACAGTGACCTCGTGAACCTCAACTAGTCGTGACCTGGTCAGCTTTCAGGTACAAGTGTTCCAGTGCGAAGTGACAGAGGATGGCCGCATTCATGCCACACCGTTTACACTGTACTGCCATTCATGTCCAACACCGGCAGCCCTGAACACCGGAATGGTTTTACATCCGATAGAGCCGCGAGGCCGAGAATCTTTCGTTGCACCGACTTGTGTTCATAAACAGAAAGCCTTCGAAGGTTACCTCTTCTACCTTGGCTCGCGGAAGGATCGCCGTGGGCACCAAATTCTGTAGAACGGTTGGGCGAATGGTGCATTCAACCCCCCCCCCCCCCTGGTGCAGTCAAAGTGTAGGATTTCCAAATGGGCAAAACCTGCAACAACTACTTTTAGCAGGCTCCGTGGTCGTTTGACCGCCAGCATTTGCTCTCCGAGGCATTCCCGAAGCCATCTAAATCCGAATGTGCGGAGTCATCAACCTTAGATGTGCGAAAGGAGCCCTATGCAGGGAACATGAAGCAGAAAGTGCCGTGTGAGCTGGTCGACAAACCTGCGTCGAAAGATTGGGGCCAACCGCGAGGAAGATCAAACCTACTCGGTCTACTGAGCACTTCGACGACGGCTCAAGAATGTTCCGCTTGCTACAGCTATTCCTCAACGAGAGTCTCAGTGCCCGCAACGATTCAACATCGACACCCGTATGCCCCGCTAGCTTCAACTTTACCAGAACCAAAAAATGAGAATATACACCCAAGACCTCACTAAGATGAACCCAGGCTCAGGCTTCCAAGTCCAGAACACTTAATTCGCAACTCGGGTGGAAGGACCTAGACCCAGAAAAGCCAGACAAGTCATGCGGATTTTGATGCTTCGAGCATTCAGCCGCAAAGCCGAGATCACCAAGCATTCTCGTGCTGGGCATGCATGCGTTCGACAACAGCTATGAAGTGCAACGATGGTTAAGTTAACCAACCTGGTAACAAGAAATCCTAGTTCATGACAAGCATTCCGAGTATCAAGCAGAATTTGCAGAGTACACAGCCTACCGGAAACCTTACACTCCTTCAAATCCAGTCACAACATACGAACGACCTCGCAACACGTATTTCTATGAGGAGCATGCGGAGCAGTGGCCATGGCAGCCGTCTAAGTACTACGGCCAGAAACCAATCGCTAGATGGCAATGTATAGTCAACATTAATTAACAACCCTGGTCAACGTGTTCTCTCAACAGACGCAGATTAATC